GGTGGCCAAGAGGAGCCCACATCAGGCTAATCTTGAGAAGCCGGCGGGCTGTACACACACTGTGTTGCCTTTGGGTTGGAGGCCTGTGTCCGGGCTGGGTGGGCACCCAGGAGGAGGGCTCTGAGGACTCACACAGTGCTTAACCCTTGAGGAATGTGGAAGGGGACCAGAAGTTCCCGCACAGAGCCTGAAGGAGGAGGAGCCAAGAGTCTCAGGCAGGGGCCATGAGCCAGACATGGAGGTGGAAAGTGGACAGACTGGTCAGGGTCAGGCGTGAGTCTTATTTTTAGGACCAAGTGGAAGTTTATGAAAATCCTGCAAGATCTGGGGACAGATGTGTGGAATTGGGGGTGTGGGAGGCCCAGGGCTAAGGACACTATGGGGAGGAGGGAGAGGGGTAAGCAGACTCAGCCAGCCAGGGGCCAGAGGCAGTGGGGGACCTGAAGGAAGGGCCCTGGATTCTGCATGAGCCCCTGGAGAGCCTTACCAGCCCCTGCCCCGCACCTCCAACACCTGTGGCCTTGCTCCCCAGCTCTGCTCTTTGGCCTTCAAATCTCTGTCAGCTCCTGGTCTGAGTCAATCATGCAGTGATGTGTGGGTAACAGTGCTACCTCATGAGGCTGCTCTGCCAGCCTCTGTCCCTGGACGCCTCTTTGCACAGGCCCTGGGAGAGGGCTGTTGTTGCTGCTACCCTCCACTGCCACTGCCAACCTCGTTCTGGCCCCATTCCCAAAGCAGGAGGTAGTTTTGTGGAGCTCAGAGGCCAAAGAGGTCTTTTCACTCCTCTCAGGCCAACTGCAGTCTGACCAGACTGGCTACCAGGGAATGAAGGAACAAGGAGTTGCAGGCAGAGGATCAGGAAGTGCATGCCCCTGGAAGCTGGCTCTCTGGCTGTGTGGGAGCTTGAAACTGGAGCCCGAACTAGCCTGGAGGAGGAGGGGCCATTTGGAAGAAACCATGGGGCCGCTGGTCGCTGGACACAGGAGGCCATCTGGGGTCACAGGTCTGTTGGCTGACATGAATGGGCCTGGGCCGTAGGCTCCACCCAGCAGAATCATGAGCCACATAAAATGGGCGTCGTTTTAAGCTATGAAGTCTGGGGGTGGTTTGTTACCCAGACAGAGCGAGCTAGTACAGGCTCAGGCAACATCCAGCCCACAGGTGTCTGTGTACCTGGGAGTCCGTTTCCCACCCCAGGATGCGTCTCTAACCCCCAAAAGTGACACCTGGAGAAGGGGATGAACAGCTGAAAGTTATTCCTGTGAGATCTGAAGTTGGACAAAGCCTTGGAAGCCAAACACTTCTGAGGGAGTCAGAACAGCATGGTGGACAGGCCTGACCTGTGACCCCTCACCCCTCCTCTTAGTAGGCCCCTCCCCGAAGCGCTCAGGCCAAGGGCTCAGGCCCAGAGCACCCCACCCCTCCTCGCTGCATCACACTGCATGGAGTCTCCTTGTGTGTTTCCACAGGCTGACCCGGGACTCCTAGAGAGGGAGTCTCCCAAAGCTGTCTGCCTGGCTGCTAGTATGCTACCCGCCCAGCCAATAGGACACGCCTAATCCCCAACTCACCCCTTGAGCTCTGAGTCTGAGAATCTGAGAACGGAAGTTTGTGCTGCCAAGTCTGAGTCAAGGCTGCGGGCTTTCAGCTCCAGATGGCATGGGGACTCCTCAAGGGCTCTATCAGGAAACCCAAGGTCACCAGCAGAGCAGTTAGAGGATCCCAGGCTCCACCCCAAAATCCTCCTGCTGGCATGGTACAGGCTGAGTGTGGCCAGGGCACCTTGGGTGGGGGACATGGCCAAAGGTCAAGGACTGGAAGGCCAGTGTTTGGACACCAACCAGGGAGAGCACGTCCCAAACCCACTTTGTCATCTGCCCTCCTCAATCCCTGCATTCCTTATTTTAGAACCCCCAACACCCAAGTCAGAGACTTCAAAGTCACCTGGCCTCTTCTGTCACTCAGTCGGTTTCAGTCTTGCCAATCAGCCCCACTAACCCGCCTTGGGCTTGAGCTGTGCGGGGCCCTACACACTGGTGATGCTCCCTGGCGTTGAGTCCTGTCGTCCCTGGCACCACCTGACAGCCGGAGCAACGTCACTCAGAGACAGTGCCAGCTCAGCCTGCCGCACCCCAGTCCTGCCGCCTCTGCAGCCATGCCGCCTGAATGCCTTGCCTGCCTTTGCTCTCCTCCACCCCCTGCTGCCCTCACACCTGGGATCCACTCTGCTGGGTCTCCGGCCTGCCCTGCCCTTGTCTGGTCAGCTTCCGCCCTGGGCACAGGCAGCACTCGCTGCAGGAAGCTGGCCTGCTCTCCCTCCGTGCCATCCCTAGAAAGGCCTGCTCCCCTTCCTTCTCATCCCTGCTTCCGCAGCAGCCTGCTGTTGCTGCTGCAATGTAATTAGGGGTTCCCAGGCCATCTCCCCTGCCAGTCCAGGGACTCCCCAAGGGGAGCAGCCCATCTTCCTCAGCTCCACTTCGCTGGTGTCCAGCAGAGGGCTGGACGCAGAGTAGGCAGCAGTGACTGTTTGCCAGTGAGTCAACCACTGAAAACAAAGGCATCTGCTTTATTTGTTTTCAGACAGTAGCGCATACTTTGTTTCCTAAACACATGGCAGCCCCAGGCTCAGGGGCATATGCAGGGGCCCAGCAGGAAACGGCAGGGCACAGTGGCTGTGGCCTAGGGCTCTGTGGACTGTGGTCCCATGATTGGTCCCTTCTTCAGGGCTCCAAGTCACTGCCAGGACAGGGAATGATGTCTGCTCCTCAGCCCTACAAAGAGAACAGGTCAGAGTTGAGTCAGGGCCCACTCCGCCCATGCCCACCAGCTCTGTGCAGAGTGCCCTGTGACAGCAAGCACGTCCCAGGGAGCAGCTATGAGTTGGTCTCCCTCCTCACCTGGAGACCCATCAGTGAATCTCTTCACCTCTGTACCCCGGAGCCCAGCACAGTCCCCAGCAGCAGGGGACAGGCCTTCACTGCACGCGACAGTGACACCAGCACACGCTCCCCTCTCCTCTACTCTCCCAGGGCTGGCTCAGAAGGCAGGTCCCCTGCCCCCATCCCCTCAACCTGCTGCGGTGTTTCTGACAAGCACCTTGGGTATAGAAGAGTCTAACCCAACTCTGCTCTGCCTTGTCAAGGCCTCCCCTCTGTTCTCTGATTTTTTTGCAGCTCAGTGGGAGCCTGCTGGGATGCTGGGGTCCACACAGTCAGGGTCCACACAGTCAGGGTCCTGTTGTGGAGAGCCTGAGGTCCCTGTCCTCATCTGAGACGGCCAGCACATTCATACACAGGCAGGTGCCAGGCTCTGGGCCTAGGCATCACCAACCTGCCCTAGGAGCCCCAGGGCAGATGCTAGATCCTGGAGAGAGAAGCAGTGCTGCCCCACCCCAAGGCCCTTGACCATGTGGGCCTCTGTCCCCTGCCACTTGGCCCCCTGCAGAAGCAAATCTCTCTTAGGGACCCTTCACCTCCAGCTCTCTGGCTCTGCCAGCAGCCTTCTGAGGTGGAGGCTGGTGAAGGGTGGTGAGAGTTTCTCCAGTACTTGCCATATCTCATACATAGGGCACCAACCAAGTGTCTGGGTGCTGGGGCTCCGAGGGAGTCAGGTTGAATATGCTGTCCCCAAATGCACACACTGCCAAGGCAGCACAGCGCCTCTGGCACTGCCATCACTCAGTCTCCAGTTTCTTTGCTAGTCATGTCAGGGGTAGGGGACGGGAGGGAGACAGGCCTGGCAGTGTCCCAGAGCCTCTCTCAGGGTTTAATGTGATCTGTCTTCCTTGGTAATCACATTTTTGCTTAGGTGCAAGAAATATATATTGGTGAGGTGTGTTTGTTAAAGAAATACTCTTGGGAGTGGTGGGTAGGGGCTCAAAATTACCACAGAGGTGAGGCTAGATGGAGAGAGGATGGAGTCGAGGGCTGGGCCCTGCCAGGAAGCCAAGAGGCTGCAGCAGATCCCTGGGTAGAGTTAGGTGTGTGATGAACAGAGACTCGGAGCTGCCCTTGATTGGGTGTGGGGAGGATCTGGAGGCTTCATCTTGCTGGTGAGTAGGGAGCTAAGTGTCTGGTCGGTGCGAAGGGCCCTGGTCTGGCCCAGCCTACACAGCACCCCAGCACCTCCTGCCCACGTGGAAGCAGAGTGAGCAGCCTTCCACACTCTGAGATGGAGCAGGAGGCCGCCTGTCCTACCCAGGGCTTCCCTCTCTCAGAAGGCTGACAGAGGCCTCGCATCCACTCGTCCTGTGTGGAGCTACCTCTGGGCTGTGCTCTGGCCATGAAGGGACAGTCGGTGCTGGTCAGGGCTGTGACCAGCCCAGGGTGGAACAATCAGCCTTGGCAGATGGGTGTGAGCAGGGGATGACCCGAGGAAGCTCTCACAGGCCCGGGGCTGCAGGACCCCACTCAGGTCAGTGGGAGAGATTTCCCCTCAGACATAGCTGGAGAGCACAGAGCATCTGGCCTTAGCCTTTTCCACCCCAAATACCTAAAGCAGCCTGTCTCCTACTCAGGCCAAAGAGGCTTTTCTGTGGGAAAGGAGACCTCATTCTATTGCTTCTCCCATACATTTTCATAAACAGACTGTACTCCTCAGGGAACCCAAACTAGGTGTCCTGAGAGTGAATGATGCTCCCCAAGGTGGGAGCTGTCCTGTTGGGGTGGGGCAAGGGTGAGGTGTGGCTGGGAACAGCCTGACTGCACCAGAGAACCCTACAGGACCTGGGAAGGGGGAGGACTTATCTAGGATAGACAGCAGCAGTTGGGGGTGGGGGAGGAAGACAGTAGGAGCTGGCTGGGAGCACATTGCAGGCATCCAGGACAACCGAGGCCCACTGGAGTGGGAGGTGACCAGAGAGCACAAGAGGCCTGAGACCACTCACCAGGAAGGCCAAGTCAGCACACCCCTCTAGACCAGCTCAGGGGGGGTGGCTGTGAGCAGCTTCTGATGGCCGTACCTGCTCCCACTCCTCTTCCAGACGGCCTGTCCTTGCTGGGACCCCCAGTCTGCACTCGGGCCTCTGCCACACTCCCACCCCTAAGTGCTAAGAGCTAAGAAATCCCTGGCACCCACAAGGGGCCCGGCCCTTCAAGGTGGGGCCTGACTTTACCCAGCCTGCTCCCACCCAGCCTAACAGGGCAAACGCCACAGGGATCATCTCCCCAGCGCCAGATGTCCAAGGCGCTCCTGGAAGCAGCCAGGAGAGTGTGCAGGTGACTGAGGAAAGTGAAGACTCAAGAATCCCTCCCTTTGCAAATGCAGATACCTCCAGGTGGAGCGTCTGACTCTAACAGGAAAAGGTAGGCAGAGATCTCCAATGCTAGACAGAGGTACCTCCCCTACCTCCCAAGCCCCCTGGAAACCTGGGAGGCAGGCAAGGCCTTACCTTGTGGGCGGCGCTCACGCAGCGCTGGTATGCCTTGACCAGGTCTGAGCACAGCAGCACCTCATGCGGGCGATCTCGGTAGCAGTGGAGGATCTGGGCCTGCAGCCCTGAGCAGATGGGCTCCACCCTGCGGGGCCTGCAGAAGACATGAGCAGGCAGGCCTGGGGCTCAGGTGCCAGCAGGCAGGGGAGAGAATTCACATTCACTCTACCTACCTGCCAGGCGCTAGGCTAAGCCCCTAACACCCACCAGCGTCCTTTTAACCCTCAGAGAGAAGCACTGTGCTTTCCCATTCTAGAAATGAGAGGACGGTCACAGGGGTCAGGCCCTGTGGTCAGTGGCTTAGGCTCACAATATAGCAGACATTGAAATGTGCTGTGGTCTGGGGCTCCACACCGGGCTCCTTCATTGGGGCCTGAGCACCTCCAGGAGGCAGGAAAGCCCAGCGAGCTTACCCCCACTGGAGGGCCCCCATGAGGACGGTGCAGCTCACCTCCAGGACAGCTTTTCCCGCTGCGCCCAGGATAGCCATCCCTCTATGCCTGGGACAGCCCGCCCCACTGTGCCCAGCATAACTGTCAGCTGCTTTCCTGTGCCTGTGGTTTACCCATGACTATAACCATGTGACTTTTCTCCTGATTTAAAACTAATATGTGTGCAACAAGGAAAATGAACTCTACAGAAATGTCTGAAGAAATGAAAAATGTTCTTTTTACTTCTTAGAGGTAACCACGATAATACTTCGGGGGTAATTTACTATTCTTTTCTTTCTTTTTCAAAGTAGTTTTAGAATCCACAAAAGTGAATAAGTTCACTTTCTAAAATTGTGGGGAAAAAAGAGCAAACATAGATGACACTAAATTCAGTCACTGGCCCAGCCTCCTGAGCATAGTTTTGGATCGGTTGGTCTCCTTCCAGACTCCTCTCCCTCTCTAACACACACACATACACACACACACACACACACATACTCGCACACTGACACACAGCAGCACATTTGTGCACTCCCTGCCGGCCAGGCGCTGTCCTCTGGTTGCTGCACGTGCTCAGTGCTGCTCCTCACAGCTCTGGTAGCAGACACTATCGTTCATCATGCTGTTCACACAAATCAGGAAACTGAGGCTCAGAGAAATAAGGCCACACAGCTGGACAGTGGAGGAGCGGGGCATATTTATTTACATGCCTTTGGATGTACTGTTGCTGCTAATTTGTTTTCTTAAGTGGGTTTTAGGCCAGGACCCTTCCCAGCTGTAGATGGACCTACTGTAGCACTTGACAGCCTTTCCAAATTGAACACCACTCATGGCTAAGGGCACCAAAAAGAGCTGTAAAAATGTAGAAAGCCATTCCTTAAGTTTCTTAGCAATAGAAAGGATCACTGTCACACACGCCACAGCTCTGCTCCAGGCACGTGGAGAGAGAGACATGTAGGTCAGTTGCTCTCCTACCAGGGTCTCCAGAGTCATTATCATCTAACAATATCTCGAACACAGTTCCTCAGCTAGAAACCACCAGCATCAGTATGATCGACAGCTTGGGAACAGGACCCTGTATTTAGCTGTCTCACTCCAGAAGTCTGTGGGTGGACACTTCTGTACACTGCTGACTTAGCAGTGATGCCACCCAGGCCTGGCCTTCCCTTCTCGTCCATGTCATCCTCAGGCCACTGAATGCAGCGCAGTCCTCTCTGCAGTAGAGATCAAAGGTAGCAGGGAGGAGCAGGTCTCTCTGCTGTCTCATCTGACTAGGCGGGACAATGCTCCCCTCAAACCCCACTCCAGGTTTCTCCTCCACTCACTGTCTAGGACCAGGTCACATACCCATGTCTAACCCATCGCTAACATGAGCAGTGTGTGTCCCATGTTCAGCTAAGGCCAGCAAGACTCATCCCCAGGGCACCAGCAAAATGAACAGTCCCTAAATTAAAGACGGGGAGGGATGAGTGTGGGGTGGGGTGCAGCCGCCTGTGGCTGCCATGCCACACCACTGCCGAGGTAAAGGATGTGAAAGGAGAGCACGCCTTCCCCTTCCTGCCGGGGCAGGCCATGGTGGCCTAGCCCTGGCCTGGGTCCTTGAATTCCACCCCATCCTAGCCATTGAGGTCACAATTCTGGCTCATGTCTACATTGTATGCACCAATTCTTAAAGGGTCCTCTTATTTCCTGAAGAGGACTGGGCGGGGGGTGGGGGGGAGGTCTTTTATCTGCACTGACCTCTCGTTCTTACATATGCAGGGCAGATAAGCCCCTGGCGTGCAGTCCTCTGCCCGGCTCTGGAGACCCACTTTGCTGGCCTGCGTCAGCTGCTGCACAGGCAGCTGGGACAAGAATACAGCTAGGGTGTCTGGGGCAGCCCCTTATTCCTCCCCAGGTGCTTAAGCATGGCTCCACATCTGTATTTAAGAACTGTGACATGGGTACGTCTAGTTGTGGGCTTTTTAGGCTGCTTCTTTCTTGGGGGACAGCTGGCCTCATGGCATTTTGTCTCAGGCAGGTGTTCCCAGGGACTGCACACACGACTTTGGTTCTGACTGTTGGGACACCTGTTTTAAGAGCGCTTTTAAGTCACAGGTCAGATCTTGGCTCTCTGCCTTCATTGCAGAGGCCTCCCCTCCTATTCTGCTCCCTGGCTCTCCATCCTTGGAAGGCTGTGCTCTCCCTTCCCCAGGCAGGGTTAAATCTGCAGGGCAGTGGGCGCCTTCAGTGGCACTGCCAGTCTCCCTGGGCTCTCTCCTGTCACCTGTACTGCTGTCCCCTCCTACCAGTCTCTTGCCATGTCTTCTGCTCCTCCTGACGGTGCTGGCCCTCTAGAGTCTGAGACCCGAGAGCATGACTTCCATCATAGCCTCTGCTGCACTACCCTGAAGCAGGACCCCACCCTGCCCTCATGGGGCCCTGGTGAGCCTGGTTCCTGGCTGCACCGTGGAGGCCAGCAGGCACTGAGGGGCCCTGTGTGTCATGGTGAGTGGCTCAGGGGAAGCCCCAGGTTTGGTAAGGGCAGAGCTGTCCTAAGCTGTAACTCTGTGAGGCTTACTGATCTATGTGAAAGGAGGTGTCAGGGACAGGACAGGCGGAGGCTAAGTGGCCCCAGCCTGAGTCGTGCGGCTGAGCCTCATGGAGCTGGAGCGCTGACCTGCCAAGCCCTGCCCTCTACAGAGGCACAACAGAGACGCTGACACTTCCTTTGCGGAATGGCAACGCACAGGAAGACACAGCCACATTTGCCCCTCTCCCCATGGTCAACCTGGCTGTGTCCCCTCCTCACTGGCTTTTCTTACTTTGGTTTCAGGTCCCAGGACAAGGGCCTCTGTGTTTTGAGCGCAAACCTCCCAGTGGGCTCCCAGTTCAGGAGAAACTGGGCCATGGTGAAATCTATCCCCTCCATGCCAGTATTGCCCGTGGGACCATGGCAGCCTCTCTGCTGGGACTTATGAGAACAATATGAGGAGACAGAATGGGAGGCAAATGTCAACTGGAAGAAATTTCACCCATTTGTCCATAAAAAGGCTCTGAATGGGGTAAGAGAGGGAGAGAACAGCTCTGGAAATAAAAAGCTTTCTCTGAAGCAGGCAGGGCTAGGCCTTGGGTGAAGCCATTCACAAAAGTAGGTGCACTCTATCCACCCTGAACCCCTCCCAGCCCTGGCACACCACGACCCTGTTTACAATGCATACAAAACAGCTCCCATGTTCAAAAACATCGTCTTGCAAACAGCTACTCTTCACATGCACAGATAAAGGTATCCAAAGTGTGCCACGAACTTACCAGGGATAGAAATAAGTCCTGTACCCCTGTGTGAGGACATTTCCTTGGAGAATGAAGATCTAATGGTCCATGTGGCTTCGAAGGGGTTCATGCCATTTGCATTGGTGTATGGGGTGTCTGTTTGCACAGGCATCATAGGCAATGCCCAGGAAGTTGGCTCGCCTCACTGGCTCTTATGTTCCTCATCGGTACAATGGGAACAGTAACACCGCTTGCCCCAGAGATGAACAGAAGTGTGTGCTGTGAAGTGCAGTTCTCACAGCAACCTAGCCATCAGTGTGAGAAACTGAGGTGGGGCCAGGGCCCAGAGTGGGGTGTGCTTGCAGAAAGGCTGGGTTACTGGAGGCACTTGGCAGAGAAGAGCTGAGGATATGCTGGGGTGGTGGAACTGCAGACGTAGGGCTTGGAGGATGGAACCTTACCTTTAAGGGTCCCTCCCTCTACAGCATAAGCTCTGATATCATTTAAGACCTAGTTCAGACCTCGCCCAGCCTCAGTAGTGCCTCCTCCTCAGGCATGTTAAGGCATTAGCGTGTCTGCATAATCACGGTGTCCCTTCAACAAGGAGCTAGCAGATGCCTGAGGCTGGGACTCTTGGTATAGTGGAAAGAACACAGGTTCTGGGATCAGACAAACCTGGGGCAAGGCGCTGGCTTTGTCACTTCCCACTGTGTGGTCGGTGCATCAGGTACGGAGGAGGACCCTGCCCCACAGAGCTGTTGACAGGATGGCAGGAGAATGGCAGGTGATGCCCAAGACGGCCCAGTCAGAATGTGCTCAGTACCGCACTGTGGCCCTGAAGGAATCATCGGCGTTCAGTAAATAGGACTACAGAAGACCCCACACACAGCTTCCTGATGGCCTTGAGAGTGTGATGACCATGGACAGGGCACATGGGTCCTGGTCCCTGGCGAGCAGGCCACATAGGTCTGCCTGACCCCCAGAGCTCCCACCCTGTCTGCTGAGACCACAGACACAGCAGAGTGTAGAGGCCCCACGTGGTTCCTTCCCAACCCCTGTGCCTGAGCAGGCCTCTCCCACTGACCTCCTCTCCTGGACCTTCTCCATTCCCCGCACTCCACCCAAAACACATTCATCTCTCAAAATATGGAAAAGTTTTTCCAATCGAAACCCCCTTTTGCCTCCATCTCCATCCCAGGCCACAGCAGCTTCTCCTTGCTCAGAGAGGTGCTGCCTGGGGCTCCCCCGCCCCACTCCCCTGGGCCCCATGCCGAGCCTCACTGCTCGGCTGACAACACCCGCCTGGCCCTCACCGCCCCTCTGGTCCCTCACTCTGGTTCTCTTCTGCTGGACCCTGGGCCTCCGCCTATGTGTAAGCTCCACCTGTGGCCCTGCCCTTGTCCTCTCAGCA